ATCGAAAAAATCCTAAAGACTTGCGAAGGAATTGCTATCGGAGGTAGTTTAAAAATAAAAAGCCAATAGAACGTCGGGAATTTGTTAGAATTATGCAATGATAATAGCCTTAGTTTAAATTTCGCGAAATGATTTGGGTGGAAAAATATTGGAACAAAATACTATAATTAATAATTCCAATAGTTCATCCACTGATATTCCAATCACAAAATTATCAATATAATTATCAATTTGGAATGAACGACTGATTGATCACTTTTCATAGCATTGCTTGGCGTACTACACACTCCAGCCTCCTTTGGATGTTAAATTTAAAATGATTAAGGGTATTTACTGGAGAAATAGAGTATATGATATGATAAAGACTCGAAACAGCTCAAGGCAACGAGAAGTGAGGGAGAGGGGAGAACCTTCTACTCTGGGCAAAATATAGACTTAGAGAAAGTGACCAAATATGAAGAATTGTAGGCCAATTACTTAATTATCCCACATCGTATTAACTGGAGAGTAATGCGTAGTGTACCTTAAAAAAGGGTGTAAGTTTCCTGTGGACTCCATGATATCTGAATGTGTTGAAGGTCACGTGGATTATTAACTAAGTGGCTAAGAGTGGAAAGAAGAAGACAGTCTTTGGATGATTCAAATTCGATTTAGCCTCTCATCCGCAAATAAAGAAGGAATTAGAAAAGTGTTCGAAATAAATAAATCTTCAAATGTTCAAAACTCACTACTCAGGAGTGAGTGTGCAATCTTATAGGTCTGGATGCATTTTGTGGGTAATTATGAGGACAGTCGGTGGACGCTGTGCCTGTGCGTGTGGTCGCAATTCGTCATGCGAACGTGAATGTGCACAAAAAATGTGCACCATTGCGCTAATTAAGCCATTTAGGGTCAACCAATTATCGACACAAAATTCTTAGGTCATGGAGGTCATAGTGATGGTTCTAAATCATATGCAAGCGCATTAGCTAATGTCGATTCAGTAGCGTGAATGCTGAAGTAATATGATCAAATCACTGACTGGAAAATGCATCAAAATCAGTCAAGTAAATGTAGTTTAAGATCATGCTTACTCGCATTAACTGATCAAAGTTAATATTTATGAAAAAAACCTCTCCAAATATTTAAAGTGGTTCAAATATAAATCGATCAACTTTTGAGTCCAATATTTGAGCTTCTTTGATTGGCTTTCTTTCTCAATTTAAGCATCTCTTCTTAAGCATAAAGATTAAAGCAAATGTAAAATGCCTTTTGTGAAAACGAATTTATGAGAAGAGTTTAAATTATGACTGCTTGCTTTACAGAAGTCGCATATTATTTTTGATTCGCAATATACTTTTGAATGTTAGCTTTATCAGCTTCCAAATGCAATTTAATCTGGCGAAAATGTTATTTGAAATTTTTGCTCCAACATAGAACACGCAGGAAAAGTTGCCTACATTTGGAGCTGAATTAAAATTCAAATCCGATTTTTAGTTCCGTATTACTAAATGTTTCACCAAATGCCAGGCATAGTAGAAAAAGTTCAAGACGGGAAAAACCAGTTTGCTCAATTATCGAGGCCATTTGTTGCAATTATTATTCTTTTTACCGAAATGATGTAATTGTAATGTTGTAAAGTGCACAACACTACCATGGGTGGACAAAGAAACTTCGTGCGTACTCAAGCACTCAAAGGTGCGCTGTGAGCGCAGTGACCTCACAGACAGCCACCAATTAATAGTCGAGGGATTGTTTAGCAAACACTTCATTGTATTTTGATGGCTAAGCTCGTGGCAGACACGCAGCCCAAATAAAGGTGTTCCATGACATACGCATGCACTCTTACCATAGAGCTTACTGAGGATAATTCGAGGCTTATTGGGAAATAATCCGCTACAAACATTTAATTTTATAGGAACATATAAGCATTAGTTATTTAAAAATGCGCGGAGATAACCATGCATAACTGCTCATTTCTCGCATGGGAAAATAATTAATAACCCATGACAGTGTTTCTCAAAATTGGATGCGTCATCCTAAATCGTGGTGCAATAGCTAATCAGCTTTCCTAAAGAACACGATACATTCAACCTAGAAAAAGAATAATGCGATTCAATTGCCATATGTGCTGAATCTAGGCACTGAATATTACCTTAACATTTAACGAAAAAGGAGCTCAAATTCTCTCTCCGACCTTATTACGCCTAATCGTAAAAATCAGTATCGTTATCGTCCAGTACTTTTACCTGCTCTATCCTTCCAAATCCCATTTCCTCTCCTACCTCCTTTCATTTATTCAATGCACTCGTAGCACTCATTCATTTCAGGAAAATGAACCTTATTTGAGAGACTACCAAGCTCCATTTGGACTTATTCTGCTGTGCATTCATGTTCACTATCTATTTTTTTCGAACTAACTTAACTGATCAGTTTGACTGGGTAAAAAACAATTGATACTTGCAAAGGAAGTTTATCACTGTATACCCTGTGGTAATTTGCATCGCCTTGCCCTTTGCATTCTCAAGGTATCCTTGTGCAATTCTTTCCTGTCATTTCTTAAATCTACGGCTTGTTATTCACTACTGCAATATTGCGCCTTCCTCTTTTCCATTTATGGTACGTGTTTAAGCGCACAGTAGCTTTTCACCACATTCTCCCTTCTGGTAAATCAAAAGACAATGCATTAATCAAATATCCTTGCATTATTAATATGGTAGGTCACAGATTTAAGCGGTCATCCATCATTCATCGATTGGTCCGTTGTCTGACTAGTCATATTGTGGCATGTCTAACGATTGGTTCAATTTCGTTTGGCCAATCAATATCGGGACAATTATAAAACCTAATACATAGCCTCAACTCAGCCCATAAGCTTCCAATAGCCCGAAAAGCTGTCTGGTAAAGCCTCTCTCTCTATGAGGAAGTGCAGAATCTCCCATAAAAAGGATTCCCTCCCTTTGGAGAAGTTAAAATACGCGGAACTACGAAACCATTCATTTAATTAAGATGAAATGACGGACTGGTTTTAATTTTTGACATGACAAATCAAGTATGACTTCACCAATGTGCAGGCTCACAGTTCTTAATAATCTGCAGCTGATTAATTGAAGTTGAGGCATGAATCCTCACGGCCAGTCTATAAACGATTGTTCATTATTGCGATGTGGCTAATTGAGTATGGAGGATTTGCTCCAGCCCTCAATTGTACCTGGTTAGCCTATCAGAACAGTTGTGAACTGACTATGAAACTATGTGAACGACGTCAGACGTGTTCACCCTGAGTTTTTTACTTAGCTCTAAGTACGTTACACTGGAGACAAATGAGATCTAGTTTTTGAGGGAAGAATGGATTGCTTCAATCTACTTCATATTGGATCTATCCTCGAACTGCTGATTTACTGGGTACTGAAATATGTTCATGCTTTTACGACTATTCCCCTCACTTTCACCATAGCATATGTTCGACTTATATTAGGGAAAAATACTACATCATACTCTGCATTCAGATAACACAAGCAATACGTTACATGCACCTTCATGCCTATTGGTTCGCACATTCCAAGTGATTCTCTCTCTCTTTCTCCTAATTTCTATATAAACAAGAAATAAAAGGCAAGCATGAACAATATCAACCGTACCTCCCTTTTCATAACCACAAACTAAGACGGGTAGAAAGAACTGATGACCCAAGAATAAGCTCTATCGAATCTCACTAAGAAAAACAGCTAAACACCAACATAAACACCACAAATTATTTAAAAATTAAGGAGTAGGTTATTTAACACAGCAGTCATACTAAGATAAAATAAAAGACTGCAGATGTCCAAGCGCATTCATTTATAATTCATTGGTTTATTAGCCAAGGAGGGATGATAAGGTAGCATCAAGGGAGGACAAGGAAAGCCGCTGTCAAAGGCACTTAATAATAGTGGTCAAAAAACAACAAGTCACCAATAGAAAGAAAACAAAACAGGATGACTGCCGAAGGCACGGGGTAGGAGGCGATTTAGAGATTGGAAAGTTATTACTGCTGGTGAGATCTTGCAAAATGGGGTTCACAAATGCACATAGCTGATCAGAAGGAAGACGAGTGGTGTCGTAGTAAGACAATCAATTGGGGGGATGAGATCTGGAAAAAATGAAAGCAAAAAAAAACATTATTTTTATATTAAAGAGCGGATAACTCTAGCCAAGGACTATTGCATCCCTCTTAATTACCAACTAAGTTTCTTATCAAATTAACCCACTTAGGATTAACCAATTAAGACTCATCGATATTTACTGAGTTTTATCGCAATCCACTTAGCTCACTGCCATGGTTCATATACACACAAGGGTAGCCGTTTCTAGAGTTGTGTTTAGCCCTTTGAAGATGAAACAAGAGGTGGCTAAAATTGTTTATTGCTTTTATCTACTCTGGAAAATCAAATTCCGAATTTCCACGAAAGGGACGCTGTCTTCAAGTTCCATTGAGGTGCCTTCTTAGTGCTCTCGTCAGAACCCAAAAAAGTTCAAAGAGTTGTACGGCTATGACAAGACAATTAAGATGCCAACGTTAAGCAAACAAAATGTGCATTACTGACTGTAAAATGTAATAAATCCGTCTTATAAGAATGTGAGCGAAAACAGTAAGTCGCAATGTTGATAATTGTAATCGAAAGATAGCAAAATAAGTTTTTCTTGACAATGATGCAATTATTGCCACATAAGTGTTACGATCAACAATAACTCACAGTACCAAATTTCCAATCACGCTAAACCCTATAATAAATAGGATGATTGAAATGCCATATTTTAGAATGCCATCCACAATTAAATGCAACGAAAGTCTCTTCGCAGAATTCCAAAGCTAAAAGCATCAAATGCATGGAATAAATCTCCCATGCCCCAGTCATATCTTCAAGGGTGAGATTTAGCAACCTAATAACTCTGATGGATGAAATTCTCATCTAACACTCGTGTATCCACAGATTTACGAATGGGAGAACGTACCGTAAGAATCTACCATCTCCTTTCCTTCACTCGTTTGCCTTCATTGTCTCATCATGAGATACTAGCGGTAATGGTGTCGGCATATCTACAAAAACATCATCCTCATCCAGCTCCGCTTCATCTGCCCCCGCTGACACCATTGAATTTGCCATCAACGCTGCACCAAAGGCCAAACTTTTCGAGTTCGAGGATGAGGAGGTGGTCGTGCTGATATTGGCATTATTAGAAGACATCTGCGATGGATATGGTAGTGTTGCTGAGCGAAGTACAGTGGCCGTGGTAATTGCACTATTGGCTGTTGATCCCAGGCTCCTTGGGCGATCTATAAAGGGACAGAGTTAGTCAGGTTATTCTTGATAAAATCCTTTACTTGATAAGCAGGAAACCGTCCTATCGTTCAAGTTTGGCTTTGTTAGCTCATTTCCTAATGGGTTTACCGAAGTGCACGGCAAAATGGTTAAACAAATTTTCAGCACAAAACCCTAGTAGAAGCGATAAATAGAATCGAATGATCAAAATGCAAAAATAGAGGCACGCTCAAATAGCAATAAGAGTGAAAATTGATAAGCAGAAGCGGGTACTCAATAAGGCTGCAAATCAGTGAAACAATTACGAATTACATTTATAAAAATATTAATATTGGAAAGTTCACGACCCATGTTTAAAAACGTCAGGCAAGAATAAAAGAAGAAGTAAGAAACACTTCTCTTAATCTGATTCCGCTTTATCTGCTCCGGTGCATGCTACTGATATCGATTTCAGTAATGCCCTCCAGGCCGAACATTTGCAGTTAAAGAATATAGGGGCGGTCGCATTGGCACTGGCATTTCATATTTAATGTCTTATAACACCAACAAAAAAGTAAATCCAGATTTTGACAAAAAAACAAAAAGGAAGTGTAAAGTGCAAACAAGCTCACTTATATGCATTTCCAATAATTTTTTGTCGATGAAAGGAACAAGTGAAGGAGCGCGAAGCTTCACGACCAATACCACAAAAACAAGAGGGGAGGGGAGGGGGGAGAATGTGAACAAACAGACAACGGTCATAAAGTTTACGCCTTCGTGGGCTGTTCCTATAGGGTGACATTTTAGGGGAAGCTGGCAAGATAGAGGAAGGGAGTACTGAGATTTCATGGTAGTGAAGTCGGAATGAATAGGAGGGGGAAAAAGATACTGCACGACACGTGCACTTTAGAGTGTGATTTTCAAGATTTCAAGACCACAGCAAAAATTTAGCAAAATAAGGCGGAAACTTCCATCGTAGTTGCGTGACGAGCAGATAGAGTTAAACACTCCAGTCGGGCAAGTCCACACAAACATCAAAATTAATTTTATTGACTTTAGAAACTACAAGCGATTTTCCAGCCGAGTTGAGACGCAAAAGCGCATTTCGGTGGCAATTTCTCTCAAAGATTAAACAATAACCTCTAGGGCCACGATTTATAAATATAGATCACATCAGTTATATGATTTACTGTAACTCAAGCTCAAAACGCCCTGGAGCACAAGCGTTAGAGCGAACTTGTTTAGGGAGATAAAACACAATGAAATTTTACAGACAATGACACATAGAGAGAATGTTCCACTCCCTCTCAGCTTTGTTCGAGTACATGTATAGTTCAGTGAATTAATGGCAATACCGATAGATAAGTTGGATAGATTTTACATCGGAGAGAGATTTCTAAACAAGGCCCTTCCCTTATTGGCTAGATTATTATTGAAAGATGAAAGATAGGGTGGAAACCCATTGTCTACACATAGTCAAAAAATTGTCATCAGGAGACCACCAATACATCCGGCCAAGCATAAGCCAGATAAATCACCGCCTTCCTAAGTGAATTGCATGAGTCATAAAACACCACAACTGTTATACGCTACATAAATAGGAAGTCCTCTTTAATTATTTCCTATGCAGGCGTTGTTTGGCACGACGAACTCATCTATTAGAGCAAGTGGTTTAAATAAACGGCAAATTGAAGGGAATCATAGATGAATCAACGAATAACCTCTTTGATAGAGAAATCATAATTTACGAGTTATTGATAAGCCCGTATAAGGTGCGAATGGGCCGTTGATACAAGAAAAGACCGCATGAACTTGGACTGGAAATGCATAAAACATTCATGATTTATGCAAC